GTGTTGTCGGGTGCGGGGAAAATGTTTGGTTGGGGGGGGGGGGGGGGAGGAAAATAAACAAATATATATATATATATATATTACAGTACTTGTATTCGGACCAAAGCATTAAACTTCTGGAGTGACAAAATTTACAATAAATTACATGATATGAACAACTGATACTTCCTAATGTCTAAAGATGGTGGCCATTGTCAGTTTTAAATTACATTTTACTGTATAGTATGAAATGAGGCTGGAACGACTAATTGCATTTGCAATATAATTGCAATTTAATATAACGTGATTTGTTAATTGCAAAAGCTGCAATTTAAAAAGTCAATGAGACGCAGAGGAAAAGGGCGGGTTTCAGACAGAGACATTGCAATAATAAAATCCTGGGCTTTGTAGCTTGATTAAATCAAAGGAAAAAGCTTGACAGAACCATTTTTCTGAGATGAGAAAAGCCAAATGGGGTCAGAGCACACACCATGTTTAATGAAGATAATTGGGCACGACTTAACGCTTAAAAATGTACTGCTGTATGGTTGGTGTTCATTCTGGTTAGAATATTAAAGCCTTAAGATCGTACAGGTCTCCTAAATGTTGCATGTCTGCAGACAGCACATAGTTCCATTCATACTACATTTTGCCTGTGCACGTTCAGCACATTTATTGGGTTGCAAATCAACTTACTTGTAAGTCCAGGCTCCTCCAGCCACTGTTTTCATGCAGGATCCGCAATGCCAGATACCCACAGCCCTCCTCTTCATCTTGGTCTTCATGTAGCATATGGAGGGGAAACATTAGGATACAAACAAGGACAGACCGAAATCCCAGTAATTATGTCATAAAGTAGCCAGGGCACTGTACATCAGTTCCATGGTAAAGCCGGTGAAAAGCCTCACACGCACACGCAGTCTTACCTTCCCACAGAACGAGCAGGTGTATTTAGCGTGCTGGGAGATTTCAATTTTCTTCACCATCTTCCTCAACGATGCGCCATAGCGGGTACCATATTTACCAACGATCCCCACCTTCTTGGTGCGCTTGGCCTGAGTAGGAATATACAACACGTTCACAAATGAAACTTGCAAGTATTTATAAATGTGTATTATATACAAACAGACATACGATACGTATATGTACACCCGGACTGCTTATGGCTATGGAGAGAATCGTCGTGCTAATTTAGCACTGTAGCCGGGCACTGTGGAGGTTTTTCATGGAGGCAGCCATTTGTAATGCAAGACATGGTAGCATCGTTTATCTGCCAACAGTGGTCTTAGGAAGCAAAATTATGATGGCATAATGCGGGTTAAATTGGCGGGGCAGCTTCGGATACATTGTTAAGTAATATTGACTCAGGAAAACTTTAGATTGACATGGATTCAGAAGGGGACTTCTCGGCTCACCATCGTTTCAGTTGAGACGTAGATCCAAAGAGGAAGTAGGGAGCGCGCAGGCGCGATTTACCAGCCTCGTTGCGCTGCATTGTGGGAATGGGAGTTTTTCAGGGTGGCGCACAACACACAATGTAGATTTAAATAAAGGAAATTCATTTCACTTTTACATATTTGAACTTTATTTGAGATGTTTTATACAATATTTAAACGAACTCAAACATTGTAAATGTTTCTTTGTTATTCTGTAACTAAGGACGCTGACTATATGCGCATGCGCATTCCTGTGTCGTGGATGTTTGCGTCCCTTCTGCTGACAAGAAATCTTTGTCTTACAACGCATCCTTTTCTCTTTGATAGACTATATGTGTTAATGGGAGCTATTACTCATCAAGATATGTGGCTGAGTCTATGATGAAGCTAACACGTAAGCATGTTCTCACGGAGGCAAAGGCCTCCGACTTGGAGAGCGTGAGGAAACTGAACTGCTGGTGAGTGGTCACATTTGACCAAACATGCCACAGATGTTTGTCACTTTAGTTAAAATGAGCTTAACTTTATTATTTCAGGGGATGCAAGCTGACTGATGTGAGTACAGACCCTCCATTCTGTCTCAACTTTACTCCTTTGGCCTGTCTGCTTCGTAACTCAATTATGATACGTTGACTTAAAGGTAGAATTATGCCATTCTCTCCAGGTTTCTATTCTATCTCAAATGCCAAACATTGAAGTGCTGACACTAAGGTTGGTTACGGCAACTTTCCCGACAAAGCACAACTTCATTCTCAATTACAAATCACGTGGATTTATAACTTCAAATGCAACATGGGTGTTCCTGTCCAGTGCCAACAGCATCTCATCCCTTGCGCCTCTGGCTGGATGCTTGTCTCTGTGTGAGCTCTACGTGAGAAGGAACATGATCGCCTCACTCTCAGAGCTTTGTTACTTGCGTCCGATGACACGGCTCCGAGTATTGTGGTTAGCTGACAACCCTTGTTGTGGGGAGAACTCCAGTCAGTATCGGCTGACAGTCCTGCGCTGCCTCCCTCGGCTGCAGAAGCTGGACAACCAAGGTCAATACATATGTTCCTTTTGGAAACAGCTTTAGCATTATGATGTCGCACATAACTTTGATTTGTATGCGTGTACAGTAGTGACGGAGGATGAGACTGCATTAGCTCACTTGGAGGGCAAGGAGATCACTGCACCACCAAACGCAGCTCAGCAACAGCTTTCTACCAACGGACTTACTGATACAGCGAAAGAGAACGCCTCTCGCAGCCGGGAAGTGGAGGAAATCAAGTAAGCCCTGGGTGTCATGACACTCGCTACAACATGAAACCAGAAAAAAAAAATCCCCTTTTGATGTTTGTAATGTCAGAGAGGAGTTGAGGATGAAGCCCAAGTCCAGAGACCAATTCCCCTGTCTTCATTCTCAATCAACCAGATCATCCATGAAAAAGGTAGCCTCTTCTTTTTTTCAGCAGCCCTAATGAAAAAGTTGTCTTTTGATACTTCTCATTTGACTTAAACACATCCTCGTAGACACACACGCTTGATGCAGTGCTGCTTCTCCTGAGGGACTTGGATCACGAGGAGCTCCGCATTGTGCACGTGGAGGCACAGAACCGACTCAGGACTTTCACACTGGACTCATTAGAAACGTTACGAAATCCACAAGCATCGAAATCCGCCGACATCCAACAGTGAAATTATTTTTGCATGCCATTGAGTCCTAAGTCTCACAATTAACTGTTCATGACTTGAAACAGGGTCACAACACCTGCCCCCGCCCCTCCCTTTTGCACTATTGCATGCATTTACAACATTCACATATGCTCACTTCATGCTCTACTAAACAAATGAGTTTGTTGTATCATGAATGCCTGCCTTACAAGAAGAAAATAATATATGTTTTATGAAAGGTTAACCTATTTCTGTAATTAAAGAGATGACCTGCAATTTGCCTGTCGATATTTATTAATGCTGCTTTCACACATCATATATACACTTCAATATCACACAACCCATTAATTGTTGTTGGCCAGAAAAAAGAAAATCAGTCCAATTCATAGCGATCATCTCAGTCAGCATCCTCATTCTCCAAGTAGTCCAACAATGTGCTCGCATTCACGGCAACCATCAGGTACTCCACACCATCTGCACCCTGGGGAATTAAATAAATAGCCGTGAGCATGAATCGCTCGCCCCGTCCGTGAAAATTGTTGGAGAAAAGCAGTGGAAGCTCTAATTTTGAAAGTCGCTAAAGATGTAATTTGATGCCAGTTTTGTTTTTTGAAGTCACACGAATCATTCTCTTTGCTCAGTGAACACTTTGTGTTGTGTCAGAATGCGTTGGACTTAACTGGGCTTCCACAACACGGCAGGACTTTACCTTGCGCGTTCGTATCAGTTTGTGGTCTCTGAACTCGGTCAGCTGAGTCCTCAGAGTGAGGTCAGAGTTCACTAAGAATGACTCCCGACAACGCTGGTAAAAATCTTGGAATGACAATCCTGCACGGGAAAAAGAAAAGCAAAAACACTAACAGAAAATGCTAAAAAGAAAACGTTCTAAACACGGAATAAGCGCCTACCTGCGTATGAAGGATTGTCTTTGTTTTCCAGCTGAAATTTCACCAGCAATTTGAAAATACCTCTGCAAAAAAAAAAAGTAAACATTAAGAGTTTTGAGACTTGGTTTCCACGGAACTACAACGGAGGAGCGGAAGGTACCGTGCATTTGGGGTCAAGCTGCGGAGAACGTGCGTCAGGGAAGACAGAGCCAGAGCCCCCGTTTGCTGCACCAGCAGAGAGTTTTCATACGACGTCTCTTCTGTGTAATGCTTGAATGTCACACACTCCCACCACAACCAGTTAAACTGACTCTGCTGAAACTGGTCCCACACTGGGCATATGGAGAAAACGGCGGTCAACTGGACAGCAAGTTCCAAAAAAAAAAAAAAAGACCGAATGTTCACAACCGACCAAGAGGAGCGTTGATGTGGTCAATAGTAGCCACCAAGTGAATGTTGGGGAGGGATGCCAGTTGCCCCAAGGCACTCTGGGTCTTTTCTCCTCGCAGCATTGGTCCATCAATATTATTGATCAACACGTAGATGTGAAGTTGCGGCCCTGCGTCAGGGATACCATTTCAAACGTCAACAAATCCCGCAAACATTTTGCTGAAATTGAAAGCAGACGAGGCAAATGGACTCACGGTCTCGAAGGGTTTGGGCGATGTACTGGATCTGGTCGGACGGCGTTCGGAAACTCCCCTGGTGCTCAAGGACTTCACATGTCAAAGTGTTCAAAATCTGCAATCGCAGCGGTAAAAGGACCACTCGTTGAAAGACAATGTTAATCGCGTCAACGTAAATTCAGCAGCCGAGATGATTTTGAGTTTTCTCTCTCAGCGTCTGCTCACCGATTTCAGCGTGATGGAAGGGAAGAACCCGTTGATCACGAGGTGCATCTCTTCAGACAAGTGAGAAAACCGAAATTCCTCCAGCAGATCTTTCTTGCTGCCCAAACCGTAGAGCAGCACGCTGAATCCCAACCTTTTGGACACGCACTCGTCCTTATACTCCGCTCAAGATGCAAGAACCGCCGGAAAAACGCGCTCGCTCACTTACTGTAGCTGCAGCATCCATTTGCTAAAGTGCTTTTTGTGTTTGTCGTGGAGGTTCTGGATCTCTGCAAGGTAGCGGGAAGGTTTTCCTTCTAAAAGCTGGGTCAGCGTCTCCTGTAAAGCAAGCGATATATTGGGGATATCTGGACAGCGTCGAAGGCGAGCATTAACATGGCCGATATGGACGTACCCTGTCCAATTTAGGTGTGTGTAAACGCTCGAGTGTGCGGTCCGACGTTAAGACTTTTGAGCTGCCGTGGGCCTCAAAATACTCCTCAACCATGGTAGGCTGGTTGACGGGTTCAGACGTGCCCTTGCCCTTTTTGGCGGGGGTCTTGTAGAGTGCTGCCGATGAAGCTTTGCGAGGCGTTCTTGGGGTCTTGTTCCCGCTGTTGTCTTTCTTGACTTTCTGTTCTTCGTCCACCGTGACTTCATCCCCATCCTCTTCTTCCCCAGAGTCGGAGGGTGAAAACTCACTGTCGCTGTCTGATCGAAGGCTGGGATCTGAACATGGCATCAAGGTTAAAAGATATGAATTACAGGTGTGAAATTTGAATACATCGCCCTTTAGTATTTGTTTAGCTTTACAACAAAAGAGAAAAATATACAAAGGTAGAAAATTTTTTGGGAACAATTTTGGAATGGAGGTGCGTTTGCATGTCATTATCTTTGTTGACTGAGTGACTCGTAAAACTCATAACTCGGGGCACTTGTACGTCAAGGTCTCGCTGTTTCAACTGTTACGCTTACTTGACATTCTCTTCCTCAGCCTGTGTGGTGTTGTGGAGACAAACTGCACCCTTTTGCGCTGTCAGAAAAAGAAACAAGTGATCAAAATGATTCCACTTGGGAGCAGTGTTTAAAAAAGAAAAAAAAAAGGGAGCAAGACTCACCCTCTGTGAAGTTTGTTTTTCATTTCTCTGGCCTGCACAGAGAGAAAAATTGCATTGAAGGGCGAGTGGAAAAATTCTAATCATGAGTCTCGTTACAAGGAGATGCTGAACTTACTGCGCCCTGCCCGAGTGGGTGTTGAGGGCTCGACGTTGGGAGTGGTGCTGAAGCTCACACTTTTCCCTGGGGTTCGGGCCAATTCATTTGCTATGTATAACAAACACCGTATACGATGTTAATGGGGAGTACCATTTGACAATAAAGGGATGGATGGAGGAAGCATAATTAGGTTCAATGTGGACATATTCAGGTGAGTGGGGCATCCTATTAATTTGGGGATTTCGAACGACATGCAGGACAAGGTAGTAATTTAAAATCTTTGAGCACTGAATGTAACAGAAAAGTTAATTGTCTAAGCTAAACACGGTAATATTTGCAAACAAGACTTGCTATGCATCACAAATATTACTTGTGTGACTTTCGAAGATTATGCAAGCAAAACCGTGATCGAGGAGGATTAATGGACTCACCAGTCTGGGCCATGCTATGGCTTCGTTTGTTTTTCTGAAAAGTGAAAATGGACGATCCTCCAACTCTGGACATATCTTCGTCATCTTGAACAAGAAAAACGCACATTTTTAAAAAAGGGTGTACAAAAGAAACCAACCACTGCACCCATTCAGCCAAAAAACAACTGTGAGCAGTGTGAGCAGCCAAAGTCAGCTGGCATAGATTCTACCAAGTGACCCCAAAAAGGCTAAACCGCATCGCAATAAAAATGGATAGATGCGTTTAAAATTGTTATTCACCGTTCAAAATGGCCACAAAGTGTCATATCCCCTTACCTTCTGTGTTTCCTGCACAAAGAGCTTGAACATAGTTCTGCTCATCAAGGAGGCCACGTTCATCCCCCTCCTTCACTTCTGGATCGTCTCTGGATCGCCGTCCCATCGGGCTCTTGAAGGTGACCATCTTCTGAACTGTGCCAGAACCGCTTTGCACCTCTTTAAAACGTCAACACAGAACTCAGAGTCAGACCGTCATGAAGAGAAAGAAATGGACCTTTGCATAAGATCTCAAACTTACCCTCCTGCTTGTCCACGATGTGTTCCAGAACATCTCCATCCCCAATGAACTTCACCTCCAACACACTCATGGCTGAAGGAACAGGCTTGCAGAAGATTGATCGATTACGTTATAGCACAACACACAGAGACGTGCAAACGGTGACACTCGATGGACATAAACGAGCAAAAATCGGCAAATTTCTTCGGCAGGAGTAACTGAATGATAATGACCCTACCGGTCAGAATTGATAAAACCGTGTGCTCTGACAGGTTTCCGCGCCATCACGCTGAAGTTTTAAACCACGTGACAGGTCAAAGTTCCCATTTTGACCAATGAGAACCTGTATTCTAGTTAAACTACATATCCCAGAATGCATCTCGGTGTGCTGCATTCATGATTACATGGAAATAGTAGCATTCAAACTTCTCGTTTAATAAGAACACACAAACGTAAAAAAAATCTACGAAAAAAAAAACAAGAACACTTCGCTTATGTGGTACTAGCGTTACGTAAGAATGTATAATTTTAATGTGTTTCTCAAAGTGTGGTTAGTCGTACACAGGCTCTCGTGGTATGTGAAAGAATCACAAATTAAAAGCAAATCAAAATTACAACATTTTAAAGATGAAATAGAATCAACATAGAACAAAACTGGTACCCTTGCATACAGCCTGTTTAAACTTTTAGTTTTATGTTACAGTATTTCTACTTTAGCTTTTGACTTCAAATGGCCTTGCACCACCTTACCTCCTCCGCACCTGCCTCAGGTCTGCGGACCAGACACTATTAAATCCATCCCTCTTTTTTCTACACTGGTTTTCCTGAACAGTGTCACAAGCTGCAGGAGCCAATCCCAGGTGATGGACACAAGGCAGACTACACCCTGAACTGGTCGCCAGTCAGTCGCACAGAACACAGAGAGACGAACAACAATTCACACCCACATGCACACCGTCACTGAGTGGAAACCAATCCCACGCTGCCCGCACACAAGGCTGGCGAGTGTGGCACTACACCATCAGCGACTTACTTAAATACAAAAGTAAAAATAAACGCTTACTCTCAGTAATATACAATAATTGTTTTGGTAAATTGGCACAATGAAAAAGAGCAGCTTAAATTCACACAAAATGCTAAATTTATTGACTTGCATAGTGTTTGCACTGAGAAAAAAAAAATCAATGGATTGGACTCAATTTTGCTGCAATCCGAATTCAGTCCATAATTTCCATCTTTTCACCATCCACGTGTTGGTATCCACTTGCCCACAAGAATGCCCTCTGAGTGTACATGATACACAGGATGCATCATTGCCGTCGCACATGACTGCAAAAAAAACAGAGAGTCAAACAGGAGGAAAATTGACAAAGAAATTAAACAGGACACTCGGACACTAACATGGTAAGGAATCAGCGTGAGCAGAGAGCCCAGCGGGTACATGCTGTAATCGAGTTTCCCCGAGATAGGTTCCACTCTTCCATGCTCCTGAGTCATGGACAAAAGCCTGCGTGGAAACAGTGATTGTCACCCACATTCAAGTTTGCAATTGATAAATCAGAGATTCATTATATATTTTATATATATGCTGTATAGGCAATTACTTGAGATTGGGGTGGCCTTCGATCACAGCGTATCCTGTTGGAAGTTTCCCAGCCCCATCCAAACTTGAGTGATAGGCGACAGTAGGGATAGAAACAAAAAGCAGAAACGTGAATCGACACTTAAATACTTTCACAACTGTATTTTGATACAATACAAAATATGGCCATCCGACCAAATTGCCGCCCCCGAAAAAAAAAAAAATGGAAGCAAGAATGCAAAATGCCGCGCCACAGCTGGTTGCCGCTAAGTAGTGCGTTCCCATTTTGTCTTGGATGACCTCAAAATCGTATTTATCCAAAAATCTGAGTCATGGATATTTAAATGTTTTCATTCCATCTACATTTAAATCTAATTATTGTTTCCATTTGGAGAGCCTAGATTTGGATCCAATGCAAGCCTGTGTATGAATTTAATCCCGGATGTAGGATGTACCTTAACCCAGTCCATCCACAGTCAATCAGTAGCTGGTTCCTGTGAGGGCAGTGACCTATGACTCTTGTCAAAACCCGCACAGCCACCTCTTCAACTCCGCATGAGCCAATGAGAGACTGCTGCACATCTAGAAACAAGCACAGGCACAAGATTTAGGAGTGGGCACTCACACATATTGCGGGTGCAACATCTTTTGTACAAGCGCCCACCATAGAAGACAAAATTTCCTGGATGCACCTCACTAAGCTTTGCCATGTCCTGGACTGGGTGACTACAGGAGGGTGTGGAGCCAATGCTGGACTTGCAGGTGATGCCAACAGCCTTTAACCTGACGGGAAATAAAGACTAGTTTCAGATATAATATCAAATACATTTAATATAGTCAATTTGTAGACTTGGCACGTTGTCCCAAAATAATGACCAAAAAAAAAAATGAGAACGTCAAGTTAGCCGAGCATAGCGTTAACTCCATAAATGTGTTCTCGATTCACTTTTCCATGAACTGCAGAGTGAAGCTGGTCGTCTCCTTTGCGACAGCCTGGATTTCCTGGACTCCTTTGCAGTTGTAGGTGTTCCCGCAGTGAGCGTACACTCCCGTGAGCTGCACACCAGCCTCCTCGGCAATGGCCTGCGCCAGTCTGAGCGCTTCGGGTTCCGAGTGCAGGATGCCGGCTTTGATGAAAGAATCAATGCGATCAGCAATAGTGATAGATGCAGTACCGTCTGCCCCATCCTGGCATTTTCGCTTTCTTACCTCTACCGTTGCCGCAGTCCAGTTTCATCCAGACATGCCACAGTCGCCCGTCTCTCAACGGTCGCTTTTTGAGCTGCTCTAGAGCATCAGGATGGTCCAGTAAAACTTGAAAGAGTTCCAGTCTCTCTGACAAGATGGCACAACGCTCCACCTAGGAAAAAAAAAATGCAGAATTGGTGTGTGGATAGCCAAAAATAAATAAATGAATGAATAAATAAATAAATAAAATCTAATCACATACTACTTGCTCGTGTATGCTGCGACTTTACCAGATTTAGTTCTCACAATTGGACTGATTATTTTGCTGTAACATACACTTACATATTTCAATTTAACCAACCCTGTTAAGGGTGCCTATTTACATAAACACAATTACATAATTTGTTTGCACATACAAGTGTTGTCTCTGTTTATATATTACAGATTTTCTTAGAGAGCTCATGTTTGGTTGTTTGTAATAGATCAGGGATGGGCAACTTTAATGATGGAGGGGGACCATCCCTGCAATATAGATCATTCTGCTACGTGATCTGTAATATCAAGTGGCTGGTTGAGAGAAGAGGAAGAACCTTATCAAAAGGAAGAGAATAAGCATAGAGGATGTCATCAAATCCATGGTCAGCATAAAAACAGGCCTCTGCCAGGGTGGAAACCACAATGCACCGTCGTGAACCGCCTGTCATGATGTCAGCACACTCACTAGAGGGGAGCAAACACACACAAGTCAGCATCCGAGTGTACGTGACTCAGCTACTCAGTCATACTAATGCAAAACCAACATTGTTGGTATCTTTCTGTATTTTAATAAACAAAATATGCTGCCTTACAACCTGTTGTGCTCCATTGTCAGCTGTTCAATATGATTTTGATCATGTCTCTTAAAAATAGTCTTGGGTTTTTTTTTTTGGTTTGAGAAAGATGTTCTGCACTTGGAAATTCCTGCTATGAAACATACAAACACAAATTTGTGCAACATGTGGATAACCTGATAGAGACGAACACCCAATGCATATAAGATCAATAAATATGTTTATGGAAATATAATGTTGAAGTCTTTGGTGATGGAAATTATAAAATGCAAATTGCTGGGCTGTTGACACCTGAGTTAGGATATTAGTCCAAAACTAATCCGGCCGTTAAGATTTAAAAGGTAAAAAAGCCCAAGGGCTGAGCTGTCGCCGTTCGAGTGTCAAGGGGAGAGCGTCTATAATTGAGTTCATCTGTGTAGTGGTTATGTGTGTGGGTTCGTACAGAGTTTTGTGGGTCTTCATGTGAGGGCGAAGCTGCACTCCGAGCTTCTCACACCGTTCAATCATCCTCTGAGCATTTTTCTTCACTTTGTCCACATCGACCACCAGAGCAGGCGTACACAGGGTTGAGAGGGGCTCCCCATCCATAGTGACAGCACTGAAGACCCCAAGACACAATGCAATTAAATTCTAATGCATGACTGATTTGAGATCACACACTGGCCCAAAATAAAACCACGGATTAGATACGTTCATTACATTTGTGGACGTAACTTTATTATGCCGAATTAATGTGAACTAAGAGGAATGAAAATATTTGTCCACATGTTTTTTAGGTTAACAAATGCGTACAAACAAACACCACAGACGCGGGCGCCCACACCCAAATCATATTAGTGTACTTCATGATCAGTTTGACCCACCTTGAAAAGTCTAATAGAACTTCTGTGCAGCGACTGTCTCACTACACACAAGCAGCGGACTTCAACCTTACCAGTCAAACAAGCAGTCGGGGAAAAAAGGCTGTCGAATATTATTTTGACGGAAGGAGTTTGAGGCTACGTCTCAATTCAAAATGAAGTAACGAGACACATCCTCGTATGTGGCCTCGCCTCAATCGAGAGTGTCTAATGGAGAGTGTTCATTATTGGCCCAGTCTCAGTACTCTTTGTTTTCACCTTGTGTTAGATATAGCCAATCGTTCACAGACAATGACATCCCAAGATTCTTTGCGCGCCATTTCAAAGGTGGTTAAAATTAAATTAAAAGTAAAAAGTCAAAATGAACCGCTACGGTTAGTGTGTGTTAATGTTTATATGTGTATCTATATATACGAAGATATACCGTATAAAATATCCGCTATAAGAGAGGGACCGAGAGAGAGAGAGAGAAACAAAATAAAAGGTTTTATTTCAATTTTTGATTTACTTGTGCTCTTGTGTGGCCTCAATGAAGAGAACAATTGTAATTGCTGCACCTTGAAGAGGGAAAAAGTAACTTCCTTGACCTCAATACCATGGATGACACAATGAGCGAGACGTGCGTTTTAATACACAAAAGACACAGTGGGAGTTGCCACATTTGACTTTATTTGAATTTCATGTTTACAGATGTGGCTGTTTTTGGATTTGTATCAGCGTGTGGTTGATCCTGTGGCACTCATGTGGGATATGACAGATTTTGTTTGTATTCCCCTGGCAAACGATTGTACAGTTTATTATAATCATGTAAAAAAAAAGTCCTCAGAACTACAAATGGCTTTGTCCTTTTCTCTACTTTAGCACCTTTCACGTAAAAATACTGACTTTGTGATAACTGTGAGTGAGAAAAAGAAAAACCTCAAAACAAAGCCTACCATTAGCTTCATACAAAAATGCATATTATACAAATCTTTGATGAGTGTTTTTAGGTTGGACAGCTGACCATAGATTTAGAATGAATAGAACAAACTAGTGACAGATAATCGGCCGAACTTAAATGTTCTTTTTTTTTTTTTTTTTGGAGGGGGAGTCAAACAATCTCCACGCATACCAGTGGGATATCAAGCTGCATCAGTGCTTTTACATTCGGTAACGATCATGCTCATAGAGGTTGGGTTGGTGCTTTTGTGTTCACGAGTACCTTGAAGGACTGTGCCTTCTTTCATTCTACGAATTCTAATTCTATGGCGTGGAGCGTCGCAGTTCCTGACTAGCATATCCAGCGGATGAAACGCTCAAAGAAAGACGGCTTGTTCAACACGGCGTAGTCGTCGCCTCTGAAGATGGACGACATGTCACCGAGCGCCACCTTCCGCAGCACCTCCTCATCCGTGTCACTTCCCAAGGCGATGACCGTTGGAACGCCCTCGGCTCGCTTCATTGAGGACACGCCCTCCTCCAGCTGTTCGCTGGATGTAATGCCGTCAGTGATGAACACGAAGGCCAGCTCGGCGTTGCGGCGAGCCAAGCGGTTCCCCTGCAACCCAAACGAGCAATGGTCAAGATGAAGTTCAAATGGGTACTATTTTCTACTCCACAGGCATTGTACGCATCATCACATGATAAAAATCGAGAGGCCTTCATTAAAGTCACACGAATGACGTGTCCTGATAAAATGTAAGCTCGTCCACGGAAAAAAACAAAACAAAACAGCTTCCATTCTGTTTTTACTTATTACATGTAATAAAAACAGATGAGACAGACAGCATACAGCTGCTGGTGTTATTGTTGTTTCTTCTAAACTATGGGCGAGTTGCTTTGATGTGAGGATGAGAGGAGTCGGAACAACAACAATGGGCAAGTGTGTTTTGGCCACTCACGGTATCTTCAGTATGTGGTTTGGTTAATGAACTAAAGGTGAAGGGGGGAAAAATATGTCAAAATGGCTCTGCAATCCGTTTTTTCCCTGATGTGGCAAAATGCGCCTGTGTCTGCACTGTTCAAGCAACAGATGGTTTTGCTCTGGTGGTAGAGTGGCCGCGTCTCAATGCGAACATTGTGAATTGGAGTCCTAGCCCTGTCAAAGTATGAGCAAGATACTGACTCTCCAGTTACTCCCGATGGTGACTGATGCCATCGGCGTGTGCATAAGACTCTTGATTATGGACTCTTCCTCCATAATCATGGACATCACTGACCACTGACTTATACACGCTCCACCCAAACAGCAAATCAAAACTACAGCTAAAGCTGAGAGATGCTTCGACCGTGAAATGGAGAAAATGAATGGCTGCTCTCCAATTGACAGTCAGAAGAGGCCACTCGAAATGCCACGTCATGTTTAATATTAACCGACGCGCTGTTGCTCTCCGTCCGGTGTTGTCGCTTCTACTTTTGTACTGGCTTGTAGTTGTTTACTTTCTTCTTTAGACATATGCCCATCAAGTCCTACCCCACAACCTGATGATTGATGTCGGATAACCTAAAGTATATTCAAGCCAAGATGAGTTGCAATCCATTTCATGTTTGGATTGGCTTCACATGCGAATATCTTGTCTGGTGGGTTTAAGGGCGCAATTTGCGAGCATTCTGGACTCCAGCCACTGTCGTGACCTAACCGCCAATATGCTCAGAGGTTACGGCCGAGACATGAGGTACACGAGGGCCATGAGCGCGTCGGCTGCTGTATGAGCAGACCGTTCCTTCAAAGCCAATGCGCGCGTGTGTCCTGTTTACCTGCGCGCCCGCTCGATAAACCACATTGTTGACAGCGTGGATGATTGCGTTGCCCAGAGCCGAGGAAGAGTCCATGTAGGTGACTCTCGCCAGCGAATCCGAGATCACCGTCAAGTTGTGCGTGAGTGGGAATTCGACGCGCTGTTCTGTGGGGCTGCCGTACTGCACCAACGCAAAACGGGCATTCCTCTCATCTGACGGGCCGTTTGCCAGGGTGAGGCGGCGAGCCATGTTTTCAATGAACTCCTTGGCCCGGCGGTGGTTCTCCAGTCCCATCCTCTCGGAGCCGTCCAAGAGGAACACCACGTCGACCGGCCGCTGCACGCAGCTGGCCACGGCGGGCTCTGGAACGCACACGTACAAACACGTTAGGTCTTAAACGTCAGCTATCGTGTCCGGCGAGCACTTGATTTCAGGTGTTGTACAGTCGTCACCAGGAAACCACTGTTTTTGCTCTCTACTCAAATTTATTTGGTTACAATATATAACATCATCGGTACATCCGGTTCTATCCAAAATTCACATTTGCAAGTTGCAGTCACTGAGCTAATATGTCAAAAAGAGCCGCGATGAAAGCCTGTCATCGACTGTCTTTGTTATTTATTGGACTACAAGCCAAGCCACATGCAAAAAAAACATGCGCATATAAAAACCATAAGTGGTTCTAACTCTGTTAAAAAAAGATGAAGGCACCATCATGACACCCCAAATTAAATAAATCAAAACAACAGCATACATCTTCTGATTCATACACGACATGATATGTGTAATATGATCTTTGTGGAGGATCGGGGCGGATCATTCGCAGAGGAAAAGCCAAAATGAAAGGTTGTAACCATGGACGTGCGCAAAACGCCAAATAATATGAAGTCATTGGAGTATTTCCGCAAGCCACTGATTCACTATGGAAACACGGCAGCGTCACGAAGCCACCTCCCTCAGCACAAGCCTGAATGGCGCGATGGAACTTTCTTCCACCAAATGGAATGGAATCCATGATGCGTCATAATTTAAGTCCCGAGGCGAGGTACTTCAAAAATGAAGAAAGAAAACTTTGTTTTGCTTTTGGGAAGCTTGACACAAAAGTCATTCCGCCAAAAGGCCAGCATAACCTTGATGTGACTCTCTCACATGAGACCACGTGGGATATTGCACGTATCTGGATTAAAAGGTGCAGTGTTGTTAAGATCTCAAAGTCCAGCATGAAGCAGATTCATGAGGTAGCAGGGTTAGCATATTAGCATTAGCAGAGCCCTATCGCTTTCTCGGGGTCTCCCATTATGTCTCCGTAGACATATTTGAAGGAGTCGATGAACAGCCGGGTCCACTCCTGCCTGTCTGCTCCCTTGGCCAGTTTTGCTCGTTGGGCGGTGTACGCCATGGTTGCCACGCCGACACCATATTGTTCCTTGCCCAGTTGATTCAGAAGGCCGGCCACACTCTCCAAAGAGGTGGGGACCAATGAGGGGGCGCCTTCCTCGGCCAGAGGCCTCCATGCGGGAGGGCCTCGCCACGGAGTGAAGCGCCCTCCTGCAACAAGGGGGCGGAATAACATTGTGGGCGGGGTCCCACGAACACCACGCAGAAAATAAGATGCTGAAGGCGCACCGAGTTTCATCTCGTGTGCTCACTTTCCAACAAAGGTTATTTTGTGTCATTGAGCATCAGCAAACGTCGATTTTCATAACACTGTTTTCTCAAGGAATTTTAGTCCATCAAGTTGTTGAAATGTCAAGTGTGTGTGGGTAAAATGGTTGTTTGGGACTTGGGTTGAAAGAAGGTTGGGAAACCTCTTTTTACTTACCTTTAAGTTCAAATTCTGAAACCAATCGGATGGTAACCATCCTATTGTTGCATGTGTTTTTTTTTTTTTTTTTAACATATTGTTGTTCTAAAGTTTGTTTGCTTCATACATACGAACTATGCCATGCAGACAGTTGTTGTGAAATGTAATTGGTGGTACGGGCTCATGTGGATTCAACTCAATCAAAGACAAAGAAGCAAAAAGACAGACGCGTGGAATGCGAGTGTCAGACAAATGTCGCCCAATGTACAACAGCTTCAAAAAGCTCACCTGACTTGCATGGCAGATCGGGGCATATAACAACAGGATCTGAAACAAAGACGTACGCGGAATTAGCGGGGATCGACTTTTGAAAGCTCTTGTGCCCCATTTACGTGCACGTGTACCTGGGCAGAGGACGGTCTCGATCTTGTCAATGAACTCCTCAGCCACCAGGTCGGCAAAGCGCCTCATGCCCAGCACCCTTCCATCCCTCTGGCAGGCTATGCTCTTCAGAATTTCATTCTCCTCAATCTGGTCGAACATGTCCCCAATTCCGATGGCGCTCACGTCCACACTGGGATCGCTGCCCCCGCCCCAATAAACCATTAGCTCCATCCGTGCGTTGACATCAATGCTGATATCTCCAAACGCATTTCTAGTGTGAGGTACCTGCAGAGGTAGGTGAGCAAGGAGTCATCATCTCTGGGGTCGAAACGTCCGTCGGTGATCACCACCACGGTGACGTTGGCTTTGGCTCTGCGGCTGTCCCTGATCAGATTGTCGTAGGCGTACTTCAGAGCAGATGGAGTCCACGTTCCTCCGGCGATCCACTCCATGCGCTTCACTGCATCCTGAATATGACGGCAACCGGCAAGTGGTTGGCAGTGTGAACAAAGCAGAGGCCGGTTGTCGGTTCAAATCGAGTTTCGGTTACACTTTGCGGATAGCGTTTAGGTGGCAATCCTAACAGAGGAACTTCTGAAGTTGAACGTGCGGCCAGTTATGCAATTTGTTTGTAGTTTGAGCAAATAAGTATCGATGAATTCACAAAACGAAACAAAATTAAAAAACAGCCAGGTCATGGATGACACAATGAGTCTCCACTCTTCAGTCAACTCCACCAATGGGTTTTGTTGTATTTTTTCATGTGTGTGTGTGTTGTACCACTATACAGTACAAGGTTACCGTTGATGCCCATAGAAATGGAAATGGAACTTATTTTGTGATGTAACAGCAACATAGTCACTAAAATAAATATCTGTGTGACTCCCGATTGTTCAGGACAAAAAAAAAAATAGACAATACAATTTTCCAAGAAAAGAGCAATAAAACACAGAATATTACCTATCTCCATCCTACAATACAAATGCAATGTATAGATTGCCATCTTCTATATCGTGATGAAAATGTTAAAATGCAGCAACCGTCCAAATTTGGGCGAGACCTTGAAAGCGGAGAGTGAATCAATTTTGGGATCGTCGAGGCGGATGGCCTGGAAAGTTCCACTGTGACTGTACTGAACGACTCCCACTCTTGTGCCTGGAAACAAAATCGAGTTGCGGGAGACAAGTTGCGGGACGGATCGGAAGCTTGAGCTGACCGAGGATGACCTGTTTCTGACTCGGGGTCTTTGGCCAGCGATCCCAATCGGTTGATGGTGTTGATGACAAAGTTTTTCTCCAAAGTGAAGTTGGTCAGGCCAACTGACTCGGAGCTGTCGATCACAAACACAATGTCCAGAGCGCCACATCGTTTTTCACAATCTGCAAACGGAGAGACAAACTATAAGGATGTGACGTTGGCTCAGAGGACTCCAGTGAGATGATGGATGGCACTGGGAGGCTCACCGCAGCAGCCGCATGTTTCCCTGATGTAATTCATGACATCACATTCCTGCAGAAAGAAGTGATCGTTACGTACCGTCAATCACGTCTTTCACATTTGAATTGATGTGATAAAACGAGAGACTTACAGTGAGGCCGGGGTCTCCCTCGGGACCAGAATCTCCCTTTAGAAAAAAAAAGAAATGATGATTTGAACGTGTCATCAGATGGGGAATTGAAATTACTTTGCTGCAGTTTTGGGTGACTTACATCACGCCCAGGGTCACCTCGAGGTCCTCTGGGTCCAGGCTCACCCTGAGGTCCCGGTTCACCCTTTTAAAAGAGAAGTCGTGACTGCGCGTACGACGGCATGATACAAAGACTCCACGCCACCCAAAAGGGAAACTTACAGGCTCTCCCGAGGGCCCTTTATTTCCGGGCTCACCCTTGGACCCGCAGTCTCCTCTGCTGCCACGAGGTCCACGATTTCCCTTCTCTCCTCTCTCGCCCTACGGAAAAGCAGTGAAATGTCGTGGCGCCGCTCGCATGCAAATATCCACTTGTGACAGATTTTGGTACCGAGGATCCTCTTGGTCCAGGATAACTGAAGCCCGGTCTTCCGGGGTCTCCCTGAATCGATGTGAAAGAAACAATGAAAACACTCATCACGCGTCATCATATGCGATGAAGACGGAGCGACGTCCACCTTTGGCCCAACTTGTCCCGGATCACCTCTCGGTCCAGCATCGCCAGAGTCACCTCGCGTGCCCTACGATGAAAACAAACTCCAGTGGATGTCGAAAAGGAAAGCTTTGGGCGATATTGCCCAATAGATCATGTGACGTACATTGCGTCCAGGCTCTCCTGGTGTGCCCGGTGGTCCTCTGGGGCCTGGAAGGCCATTGTCCCCCTGTTGAGATGAAAGACGATCGATAACGGGCCAAACGCATTGAACTGAATGGCTCCCGTTGAAAAACATTTGAGAAGGTCTTCTTACCTTTGCGCCTTTGTTTCCTGATTCGCCCGGAAGACCCCTCAAGCCCTCTGATCCCATTTCACCCTAAATATAAAGGACGGTACGTTACTGGTCGAGTAATGTACAACAAAAAACACACTAGCAAAATGAATCAGTAAACAATAACGAATGAATTTCTTTTTTTCGTGATGCGTCAATGACTGAGTGCGCTTGAAGGGGGGAAACGGTCCTCCTTCACCTGATGAAACCAAGATCATTTTATCTGTCAACGCAAGGAATAGATTGAGGTTGGAGCTTTTTAACCACATCTAGACTTGTGCCAGAATTCGTTTGAAATATTCACGTGTTCATGCCCGAAGAAACAAAGTGCACCGAGGGGGAAAATTGAACGTGAGTTTGATTCAAACAGATTTCAAGGGCGCTGTTGTGAACGCACACTGAGTCATACCTTGTCCCCCCTGACTCCATCTGGTCCTTGAGCACCCTTTGGTCCATAGTCCCCTCGCCTCCCCTAGAACACACAAAAAAAAAAGTGCAAAATCCTAACCAACTCAAAAACGGAGAGAAAAAAAAAACCCCGATAACGATTGGATTGTTTGGCCTTACAGGCTCTCCTCTTGATCCAGGAAGTCCTGGAGTGCCCTAAAAAAAAACAATGCACAGATGAGTAAAGGTGGAACAATCAAGAGATTTTTTTGGCGGTGTGATATTTGGGAATCTTACAGCAGATCCTTTCAGTCCAGGCAAGCCGGGCGATCCGGGACTTCCCCTTTCTCCCTGCGAACAACGCGCCACAATTGTTGAGCATCTTTCAAAGTGCTTTCGTCACTGATGTGAGTCTTGATCATCCTCATTACCTTCGGTCCGCCTTCACCAGAAATGCCAGAAGGACCAGATCTTCCAGGACGTCCAGGATCTCCCTACAGGCACATCATCCCAACGAGTGTTACGGATGATCCATTTGATTTGATCGGAGTTCCGTGTGTTTACCTTGTCTCCGGGAGTTCCGGCAAAACCACGTTCGCCGACATCTCCCGGGTGACCGTCGGAACCCTACGAGGACGAAACGTATTTTTTAACAGCTCAGAGCACCTGTTGAAGGGTTCACTGATAAGGTCATCGTACTCTGTCTCCTGGATCTCCTTTGCAGCCGGGAGCGCCTATCCGTCCAATTTTACCCTGTAAGAAAATCACAAGTGGATCAAACACAGTCAATAAGGGTTCTTTGGGTAGACTGTTGCAAACTGTCATTTTTTTTTCCCATTTGCGATGGAAAACCCAAAGGTATCTAATAGGCTTATCCTCGCGAGGGTCACGGGCATGCTGGAGCCAATCCCAGCCATCTTCGGGCAGTAGGCGGGGGACACCCTGAACCGGTTGCCAGCCAATCGCAGGGCACACATAGACAAACGGCCATTCGCGCTCGCACTCACACTAAGGGACAATTTGGAGTGCCCAGTCAACCTGTCGTGCAAGTTTTTGGAATGTGGACGGAAATCGGAGTACCCGAAGAAAACCCGCGCAGGCACGGGGAGAACATCCAAGTTCCACACAGGAAGGCTGGAGCCGGAATACAACCCTGCATCTCTGCACTGTGAGGCCAGCGTGCTAACCATTCGACCACCGTGCCGCCCCGCAGGTATCTTTTTATTCTCACCTTCTGTCCGTCTGTTCCGTTACGTCCTGCGATTCCGGCCACACCCTGATGACAAAAACAAGATTAACACACGATCAGAGCCCAGGATGGCTGAGGGATAATTAATCTTCATAATCACAAAGAAGAAAGTCTTACCTTTTTCCCTTGAGCTCCCAGCTCTCCCTGTAGACAACAAACAAGTCATTAATGGTCACTCGGCATGATCCTTCTATGCTCGGCGACGTGTAACAGGGAAAGACGAAAGCCTCACCTTCTCGCCTTTAAGTCCGGGCTCTCCCTTTACAAAGGTAAAAAAAAACAAAAAAAAAAACAGAAAATCAGAGATACCGCAAAATCCACAATCTCACGTTGTCAATGCGGACGGACGATGCGTCTTACTTTGATACCAGGCTGACCGATGGGTCCTTCGATACCTGGGTCGCCTGGACGCCCCCTCTGTCCTTTTGGACCTGGATCACCATTGTCTCCTTTAGCACCCTACGGTGAAAAAGGAGGCGGGGTTAATGAAGATGAAAGTGGAAAAGTTGGACAACAACAAACAGCGTGTGTATGCAAATCTCACTTTCTGTCCTCGGTGACCTTTTGGACCTGGTGGCCCGGCTGTCTCCAGGCAAGACACTTTGTAGCACTATGGACGATCAAGAGACGAATCAACAATCATCAAAAATCAAATTGGCAATTTGCATTCCGGAGAAGCGTTATCATTCATCCTTTTGGCATTACCTCAACAAATGATTGATGTTTCTGTGAAAAGACAGAAGAAACAAGGTGTTATTAGTTGAGCCTATGCGCGCCTTCATTTGTCGCTTTGAGTTTTAGTCACCATGGTCTGAATGATGCGGTCGATGGTGTCCGTCTGGATGACAGCTCTTCCAGAGCTCAGATCAACAGCCAAGAAGTCCCTCCTGTAGACCGACGCCGGAGCGTTGGCGATCTCCCTCAGTCCGGTCTCGTCAATGTTCTTGGATGCCGCCACCACAAAAATACGGATGCCCTCGTCCCGCGCCCTTTCCGCCGCCACTTTGATACCCCCGCAGGGGTTTCCGGTCACGTGACCGTCGGTGATGACCACGGCGAATCTCAGGGCGTTGGGGTATGAGGGTGAGCGCAGCATTTCCATGGTCATGTTGGTGAGGGCGCAGTCCGTGTAGGTGCCCTTTCCCAGGTAACGAATTCCCCTGACACCCTGGAAAACCGGCAAAAGATTGTTTTGGATTTGTTTCGTATTTTCATGTCCAACACAAAACTTGTTTCTGGATGAAATGATTTCTCGGGTTTTGAATGAAAACAACGCGGTTAGGTGGCGTGGACGCATACCGAGAATCGGGCCAAATTTGAGCCGTTCCCATCAAAATGAGCAAAAGCCCGACTGTCGCATGTTTGCTAAAATATGATTTTGCATGTTAATATGGGATCCTTTTTCCTGGTCATGGAAAACATTTGCGTGGCTGAGTTCAAAGGCAAAGAAATTGTGGACTCAAGTCCAATGGAAACTTATGTCATGCCATTTAAGGCTATGGTCTTGTCGAACTTTGAACAACAGTCAGACAATAGAGCCTATCAAATTTAAATGCAGTGGATTAACGACATGCATGAAAAAGACAACGCGTCTTTCAACAAATAATTGGTGTCCTGAAAAGAACACGGCCATGTCAGCTGAAGTTGAACGACCCCCGTTTTAGCTAATCCTCACATCTGCTCAATATAACACTGGCATCCAGACAGGAGTTCAGAACCGGTTTTAAAGATGTTGGGTTTTTTCTTTTCTTTTTTAATACGGGCGGGAAGTGTGAGCAAACAGTGCTTTTTCCAAAGGAAGCCGTTTTAAACCCCTCTAGTGACCATTAAGATGTCTTCATCCGCCCATTGGGCTGGATGGAAAACCCAAAGCAAATGACAGTAAGTACTTGAACTTTCATCATGATGACACAAATCACAGCGTGTGACTTACAGAGATGAAATCACTCTTGGATCCAATGCGGCTGAACACTTGCTGTCTCTGGGAGAAGTGCAGTCCACCGATGTTCCAGTTGATTCGCACAGCACCTCGAAGTTCGGCCGCTTCCAAACGATCTGCAAATTGCTCACTGAAAAGCTACGGTAGAAAGACGTGGCACAAAAAAATAAATACATTAGGAAACGCAGTTTTGAGGTGGAACACACTGGACATCATTTGCATGTAAAAGGTCAGTGGGAGACAACGATCCACTTTCTAAAGTTGAGTTGCCAGTAAAAATGAACCTTAATGCTCTCCACGAGTGATCCAGGGGGAGTCTCCTGCAGGGCGATGGTCTCAGACGTGTCAATGGTGAAGTACACATCAATAGGACAGTCTCTCTTTTCTGGAGTAAAAGTACAAGGGCACGATGAGGTTCAAGCTATGCCGCTAATGTGCTGGTTGAATGCAGGGAACACATTTCGCGATGCGACTTTTTCCAATCGCAAAGCATGCAACTGTAGCTGCTGAAGGTTTCGAGAAACATCCACTTACTGTTGCATTCAGGTATCTGGCCGTTACTCAGGGCACCAAAAATAAGGCACAGGGCAATGACCTTTAACCCCTCCATCTTCTTGTCCGTTCTGCTGTATAAGAGAAAAACACACACGCACACCCATGAGCCGAGCAAATCAAGATTGTTAACCAAACATGAAGAAGAAATGTTAAAATTAGATAGTGATTAGAGTGAGTTTTGATGGTAGACAAAACCTTTTTTATACTTCGGGCCAAGTGCACAACGCCTTTAGGGTTCCCTTTTTCTTTGTGAATGGCAATCAGTGGCAGAACAAGTCCATAAAAAGATGAGTTTGTAATGTTGTCACGTTGATTGTGACATAAAATTATCCATCAATTTTCTGTTGTCCTCCTTAGGGCCATGTGTGATGTGTGGCACACCCCAGACTGGTCACCAGTCAATCATATCGGGTACATATAGATAAACAACCACTCACACTCACATTCACACCTATGGAAAATTTCAGTTTCAATGAACCTCACATGCCGGTTTAGGGAATGTGAGAGAAAGTTAGTCGTACAAAAAACACACACACAAGCATGGGGAGGACATGCAATCTCCTCACGGGAAGAGCTGAACCCAGAAACTCTCAACTGTGAGGCATATAGAAAAAAACCACTTTGTCACCTTCAACGTCGATAGTATATACAGTAAGTTTATTTACTTTGTTATGATCCTATAAGGAGAGAATGTCTGTTACTGTGTCGTCAAAGCAAGCAAGAGGGTGATGGAAAGAAATTTGGGCACTGCGACACTTTTCGGGAATAACTCAAAATTTTCATTGTTTTGGACTCCCCTGGAAAGTCCTTTTGACCCACCAGATAACTGACATGTCACGGCAACCGAGCGGCGCACGTCTTGCAAACTCTTGATCGTTTCCCTCTTTTTGGATGCAGTTATATGTCTGCTAGCGGTGGCACCCTCTACTGGTTAAAACTTGAAATAACATCTCATGGAAAATCGTGTGAACGAGCTCAAACTGGAGGTGCCGTCAGCCTCGAGGTAACAACAAAAGGTGGTGGTAAGGGAGTTAAGATGAGTGATTTCTCAAGAGAAACAACATACATTCAAGTTTAATGTATTTCTTTTATATTAGAGCAATTGAAAGTTAATTGTGGTTCCGATATTCTGCCACTGGAAAAAGAGCATTTCAATTCAAGCAATTCAAGAAAGACAAAGCAGAAATACAGAAATACTGTCCATTTGCTCGAGTGGGCAACATAGAGTGCTGCGGCACACCGAATCTGGCAGGCGGGCCTTTGGTTTGACACCTGTGCCTGACAGGCCTGACTGGATCAGCTCTGCGAATCCACCGGTTGGGGGTACAAATACTGTAAAGTACTGCTGTACCCTGTGGTTTCAATCTAGAGAACGTGAGGTCAATTTTGGCATGATGCCTGCCCATCATGATAGCCATCCATCCATGTCTATGCCCACCACTTGGCCTCATTTGGGTCCTGGGTGAGTCGGAGCCAATTCCTGGGGAATTTTTGGCGAGAGTCAGGGTCACCACCCTGGACTGGTTAGTTACCCGTCAATGGCGGGGCACACTCAATACACAAACAGCTATTCACACCCAAATCCACAACTATGGACAATTTAGAGTCTTGAATTAACTTAGCGTGCATGCTATTGGTATGTGGGGTGAAGGAAGAGTACTCGGTGGAACATGCAAACTCCACATCGCGAGGCCGTAGTTGAGATTTCGAAACCTGAGCCTCAGAACGGTGATGATAACCACGTTAAAGAATGAATTTTAAAAAATAATTCCTTCAATCGAACCCCCACATTCAACTAAATACAATTTCGTGAAGAATCACGTTTCACGCCTCGTTTTGGACCTTTGCATTTCTGACGACCGACTAATTGTGTCTCCCTCTAGCGGACAAAAAATAAAAGGATGCGGAGAAGTCGCTCCTGCAGATGTTCCCACTCTGTGCACAAACCGGAAAAGTGACGCTTTTTTTAAACTCAACCTGTAAAATCTCGCAAACGTATATTAAGTGATAATTGAGACGAAACAAAGAGTTTTATCTTCTGTGAAATTCAATGAAGTTGCATAAACCAATTTTTGTTCTGCCACAACTGCGTTCAATTTTATACATCTAAAAACAAGAAAGTGTGAAACAGATGGAGAAAAGGGCAGATGAGTAGAAATAGGAACGCACGTTGTTGTGCATTCAAAAAGTACCACTTACCCGAAATATTTCCAACTTCAAAACTTGTGCACCGCTGGTCCAGTGTGGATTATTCCCTCATTTCAGTTAAGGGGGAACACAGACAAAAAAAAGAGGGGAGAAACGGGAAATAAAGTCCTGGACACGCGTTGACTTTCCGCAGAAGAGCCGTCCGTTCGCTCTCCTGTCCCGGTCCAGCCCCAACCGAAATCACTGATCCCTCCTCCCGTACGCGTAGCAGGAGTTTGTAAACATCCACTTGGGGGCGCCCTGGCTCTGCAGGACCCACCGCGCGCGTGCGCGTACGACAGGCCCATTGGAACGCTGGCCACTGTGGCAAGGAAATGTGCCAAAGCTTGAGCTGACTGTAGTGTGAAACCTCTTAACATGCAACGTGGTGTGATGTAACAATGTCCGTTAATCTTACTGTACCTAAAATGATTTTTCAGGTTTTTGCAGTTTCCTTTTATGGCCATTTTTTACTTTTACACCCTATATTTGAAAACAGACATTTGTCCTTTCGACTGCTGACTTTGTGAAAATAGGCGTGTTCCCCTCTACAAGTTCGACGGATCTTGACACTACGAAAAAGACAATAGAAAGCGGTAAAGACAGATCTTGGACAAGAATAAGGTGGGAGGGAAAAACAGGGGCAGCGTTGACATGGAGAAAACTGAAACATAAACTACAACCACGGTCCGCGGACCGGTACCGGGCCACGGGCCATTTGGGACCGGGTCTCACAAAGACAGACCAGCGAGCTTTGAGCAAATTGACTCCATCAGACGTGGCGGAAACGTGCGCGACTCGAGCCCATCGCAGTCCCCCTTCTAACATTGGTTTGCAATTTGAAACAAACGGAATCGGCCAATAAATGAAAGATGAAACAGAAAACAAAAAGTTATCGTAACACATTGACCAAACGAACAGCTAAACGCGCAGCTGATGGGCGGCCATGACTTCCGAAGATGAAGCTATTTGGACAAGAGAACTTCCTCCCGTAGCGGTATCTCCACGGCGACGTGGAGGAGGAAGTTGCTGTGCGTCGTCTATCGTCAAAAGCAAGGCCAAACTAGAACCCGTTGAATCGTTTGAACAAGTAGCACCCAACTGGTCAAGTGGAGCGCATGAAAACTGCGAGCAGAGTTTGCGCAGTCCGCCCACGTGAACATTAGCAATTTAGTCGCTAATAACTAGCCGATACCCACCGGATGAAAGCGGCAATCAATCGTGCGTGTCATCTTTCGATCAGTCACATTTGCAAGTAGCAATGATGATAACTTTAATTCATTCTAATTTTGTGGTACAGTAGAATAACACTGTTTGAAATGAATGACAAAAAAATGTGTGAATTAAAATTTTAATTAGTCTATAATTATCTTTGCTGTCAGTACCTTAAAAAGTGGCAATTTTAAAAAATGGTTGTCGGTCCGTGAACTGCATGTACTTGTCTCAACTGCTCTATGACATAAAAAAGGTTGGGGACCGCTGGTCTAGAGGACCCAAATTGAGGATGCATCCCCTTATTTAAATTACTTCCAGGCGTTCAGCACAGCACATGTGGTGAAAAAGTGAATAAAAGTAAACAGGATGAAAAGCAGACTAAAGAACTCCCACACTCGTGTTCACGAAGGACCCTCGCTTGTGTCTGTTCGAAATCAGTTGGCGAAGTTGGAGGAGTTTATACGCGGCGTAAACACCGAGAGATGCTCCTTGGGCCCTCTCGCCGTCTTTACGTGTATAGGTGCTTGCTCACTTGCCTACGTGCTCGAGACACACTGGGAAGTTTCCTTTTGAGAAGATTGACACGCATCAGCACCCCCTTTTGTGTCCACGTGAAGCCCGATATCCTCTTGACTTTATCGTGGCTGTGGCAGCTGCAGCAGCACATGTTCTATCATGTCAGTTTGTCCAATTTACTAGAATTTCTCAGGGGGCTTGCGGTGGCTTGTAGCCACTAATGCCTTATCCAGCTCAAAACACAGGGGTCAGAGGCTTTTAAATGCTGCTCCACATCTGCTACATGAATAACGGCCAATCGGTTTCGAGCAACGGATGAAGGTATCACCGTACAGCGGAACTAGTCAAGTCGAATGCAGCATTTGCTTGCTGATCTGAGCTCTCCTCACGTGCTGACGTTTTGCATGACGACGATGCGTTTATTTGGTGTTAGTGCTGTGAAAAAATAGCCAAAGCCGGCCACGACCTTGCTGATGAACAAGATACACAGCGTGGGATTCCCCTCCGTTGCCTAGCAACTCGACTGATTGACTCGTACATTGTTGTACGTCCGGAGGCGCGGCGCACATTATCTCAGAACATATCTGGTAAACAGAAGCAAATTTCACTCTCTGTGAAGACCGAAATTGTCCCTCACTTTCAAAAGGGAGTCTCCCAGACCAAGCTCAGCCGAGACTACGACTTGGCAAAGTCGACGTTTTCGACAATTATCTGTAATGGCACCAAAATCGAAGCCAACAGATTGAAAGATGATCGTTGACGGCTTCGGGGCGTTGCTCATCCTGAACGGGAGAAGGCACTTTTCATTTGCTGACAGAATCTTTTCAGAGATGAAGTCGGAACGCGACAGTTGCTTGTTTCATGTCTTATAAAATCATTTTGTCTTCATAAACACGTATTTGCGATTGACACGTTCACACTGTCTTACATATTCATGTTTTTACATCTACAAATGTTCCTATTGCATTATACATCGTCGTTGGCGGCCATTTTAGTGGAAATAGTTACAATGAACTACCGTTAAAAACCTCGAGGATTCGTGATGTCCCTCGAGGTGCGTTGTATCCAGGTTCGACTGTATTTCTAAAACTTGGCCAGCTATTCCAAGCACTAGAGTGAAAAAAATTGAGTTATCGTGCAATTGTTGTAATGGACAATTAGTCGACATCCGCTGCACACGAGCTAAAGTATATGAATGGCTCTCAAGTTTGGAATCGAAACATGTCAAATTTATAAATGTCAATGATGGGAAAGCAGAGCGGATTATCAGTCTGTATCTAATTGGAGGCAAGGCTTGGCTGCATTTTACCAAGGAAACGGAGGAGGAGAGGGGATGAGGGAGAAAAAAAAAGGGGGGTTGATGGGGTGGGGTGGGAGCCCATCTGGTCACCAATGAATCTCATCTCTGTCTTAGCCATGGAAAAGTTTTTCCTTAAAAAGAGAAGAAGAGGAGTGGAGCTCTGTGCATAGGATGGCGGAATAAAGTGTTGGAGGGGGTGTTCTGGTCCCTCTTAAAAGTGTGACTCATAAAACAGGAATGGCCCTCTCCCCCAAATAGGAGTAAAGCAGCCTCTCTCTCTCTCTATCACTACTGCCGTAGTTCTCACAAATGCTCTCTCAGACTTTAATTTTTTTTTTTCCCCCTTCTTAATTTCTTTCACATGGACCCAGAAGACTTTTCAGTCCGGGGTGGGGAGGGGGGGGGGGATTTCTGCATAATCTGTCCCAGAATCATAAACAGTTCCAGTATCACTGAACATTTTCCAAAGAACTGCAAATTCACTTCAAGCTGTAGGCTCCCCGAGCACAGATGAAACATGACAACGAAACACGGATGCGCGCCGTCAATGCGCTGATTGACGGTGAAGCAAAACATATGCATATTGTCTTGCTGCGGTGACAGTTTTTTTTCTTCTTTGGGGGGGTGACAAGATGTTCTCCAGTGCAGCTCCCGTGTGCAAAAAGGACCCGTTTTAGCCCGAGCAGACTGTCAATTCTGATAACGTCCACTCCTCTCTATCGTGTTTCTCTTCGGAATCTCTGATCTCACTTTCTCCAGATGTGGTTTCCGTTGAGGCAAAGCAGCTGAGAGTCGTTACCTCGCCGCTCTTCTTGGCGCGCGCGCTTCACATGCGCGCGTGCGCGCCGAAATCCGCGCGCTCAACTCCTGTCACTCGCGTCGGCCGCTTCTCGTGGAGAGTGGGCTGAGGTCTGACAGTAATCCGAAAGGCCTCCTTGCAGCTTTCGAAAACAGGAGGAAGGAGGAAGTGCAGTCCCAGAAAATACTGCTGTGAGCCAAGACAAATTTCAAAGGAACAGCCCTCCATACACAAACACAAATGCAACCGAAACATCACACACAAACTCTGCTGAAAGATGTGATTCGACGCTCCGGATCTTAGAAATATCCAAAAACTAATATGAGTCTCGTTAAAATTGCTCACACGGCAGTGATCCAATCGGTGGCTCAATATCAAGTCTGAAAACAGAACCCACGCTGAGATGGTTCCACTGGAATTGTTCAGTAGGCCAAGAGTGAACTTTTAATCGAAAACAGGCGTCGAGCTTTAAGATTTACGCGTCAATACACGGTTTCTATTTTGTGTGTCCATGAAGTTGAAAATGACAGAGGCTCTTTTCGAGCTGCGTCTGTCGTCCACGAGAGAAACTGGTACTCTCTGAGCCTTGCGCAAGGAAGTCAGAGGTTAAGGAGAGGATCATAGCCCCGGCGTGGAGCCCGAGCGTTGCTCAAGGGCACGTCCGCGGGCAGGTATTAACTTGAACTGCTGCGAGTAGCCCACAACACTTTGTTTCTATCCACCCTTTTTCAAAAAGCGCTTGCCCTCAATGAGGTCGCGGGTCATTTGGGCGTCACTCAGTTGACTGTGGGGAGGGCTAAATCCTCAAATGGTCATCAGATTTTTCCACGGCAAACAATTCCCTCGTTCAGTTACTGTATATATAAAAAAAAAAAATCAGTTCCTGCACATTTCAAATGACTGAAATTTCCCATGGAAAAATAATGGTGAGAATGTAAACAGAAAAAAAAAAAAGAGTAGAAATGAATTCAGGGAAAGTTTTAGAAGGAGCTGAGGAAGTCTTGTTTTGGCAATAATAAAACAGACACGGGAATAAAAGTGGCAGTGAGATGCTCGATGGTGACACACCAAAAAGCGCAAACACGGAGTGCTTATCATTTTCCTTTTTTTTTTTAAATTTTATCTTTTTTTTTAGCATTTTGGTTTTTGAAACATGCTTTTAATATTCTCTTTTTTTCTTTCACACTCTACAGTATTTGCTGTACTTTGAATGGCAGATAGCAACTAGTATTTTCCTAGGTTGGAATAAATTCAATTTCTGGTTTTAATCGTCATCATCACACTTTTCCTCTTTACCAACACTGGGGCCATTTTGTGGTAACAAAAAAAAAAGCGAGAGAGAAAAAGCAAAGCACACGTTGAAGACTTAATC